TAAAATCTTTATTGTAAGGACTAATATGAACTAATTGCATAATAACCATAAACTATAAATATCTAAATAGAAGAGATAGTTAATCTAGATATATAATTTAAAGTTAAGCAAAACTTGAACTATAGATGTATGTATGACTGATAGTCATACATAAATACTTTTTTTTAAACGTCCCTACCCGTACAACTAGACATGAATACAAGCGTTTATATTGTACAGGGATGAAACTCACAACCATATGAAGGTGATACGGCGAGTTAAACTGCTACACCACCAAGATCGTCTTATTTTTAAATCTCTTGCGGAAATTACAGCGGTAAAGTCAATTTACTGCAAATTTTCAGCTAAAGAAAAGAGTGTAGGCTATAAACTCTAGTTCCGATGACTCTTTTGACGCTTTCAAGAAATTGGAATCTGAACCGATTAGTATAAATAAAACCTATTTGTATAAGATTTATCCATTTTTTTGTTGACTGTACTTTTTTTATTATTCCGTGATACACTCACGGTTAAAATATTTCTAACAGTTATAGACAGTATTCTCGTAACGTTTTCCTGTAACTACAACGGTAAAGGTATCAGCACCTATTCTTAGCGTCCCGTTTCAAAAATCCACCAGCGTAATGGGAAGAATTCCATACTACTTACCATTTATCCTATGAGATTGTTATTATGAGAGAATTTGAACTGAAACTAACTGGCTATTCCTACGGCTAGACTATGGTTCGGTGCGTTATGTATGGGACCGATCTTATTTTACTAATATAATTGTAACTAGATGATGTCTGTACATGAGTGATATTTAAGAAAAATTGATTAAGGTTGTGTTAATAAGATTTACAGGTGCTAAAACAATAATTTTAAGAAATTTTGTTTGCCTGTATGTTTGATCTAGCATTACGCAAATACTACTGCACCAAATTGGATGCAGTTTTTACAATTGTGTTCTTGAAGGTCTAATTTGAAATCTACTTTAAGTTTCATATTGATGCGCCATCTAAAAGTGAACTGTTGCATTGCTATTCCTTTTTTCGAAATCCACGCATACCAAGTATCCGACAAAAATAAATAATATTTTTTCAACTTGATAAGAAAATTCTATACTGTTTATAACTATGTGGCGTGTGGTTCTGGCATAGAATGGACCATCCCTTCTTTTCCCGTGGGTGTCGTAAGCGGCGACTAAACGAATTTAATGGTCGAGAGATGGACAGCAGCGTCTCTTAAAACGTCATCAAGACTTAACTAGGGTTACCGATCTGTCTGCCAAGCGGGGCAACTACTGGCAAAATTCCTCTTACGAAGAAGGCTTATGTTCAGCAGTGGACAGTTAACAGCTAATATAATAATAATGACAAGTATCTTTCACAGTGTTTTTGATATTTAGGATTAAAAACTAAAATTTTGAAAAATAATTAATTGCTGGACTAGCTTATTACAATTTCCATTGTGTGCGTGTTATTATATCATGTGTACCTCTTAGGCTGTAATTATGTGATTAATAATTAAAAGATTTGAAACATGTTAGTTGATTCACACGGCTCTAAGTTTCGTGGAAAATAACGTATTTAAATACAACAATTATTAAATTAATATGCCATCTCGTTGAGGACTTGTTACATTTTAAAAAATAAAACTTACTGGGGAGTAATGCACATAATATTGTTGCATATTATCTACTTTTTATATTAAATACATATTTTTACATTTTTGTTCTACAAAAAAAAAAATATCAACGCACAATTAATCAAAGAAAATACAGTCGATTTAAGAATATCTTTTGATAAATTTTTGTTCAATTCCAATCAATTGATCAACCAATAATATAATCGAATTAACAATTTTAAATCTCTAAAATGTATAATAGTTATTCTATGTTTATATGTAGTAGTTCATAATTATTTATTATTTTACCTTTGGTATGTGTAAGGGAACTTAATGGTCGAATGATGGGCATCAGCGTCTCTCTTGAACATTACCAAATGCTAATTGAGGTTTCTAACATGCTTGCCAAGCGTGGCAGATACTGGAAAAACCCCCTAATACACGACAGTTAACGGCTGATATGATGATGATGACGTATATCTATATTCAGCTATTAATATAATACATAGTTTATTATTTATCAATAGTCTATTATTTTTTTGTACTACCAGGTCACTCAGAAAGTATTGCGAGAAAAAGTTTTTATGTATGGTGAGACTGGCCTGGATAATTTATTTAAAAATATGATTACTTATAAATAAAAATAGATACGTTCTAAATTCAAAACTTCCCTCCACATTTTTTGCGAACTAATTAAAATTACCGTGTCTCCTTGAAAAATGGATTTGCGTCGAGAATATTTTCGCGCTATGATTTTTTACCATTTTATGTGTCGCCTGAAATCGAACGAATCGTAGGATAGACTTCAAATGGCATTCATGGATGAAGGCTCTTCTAAGGCAACCGTGTATCATTGGTATAATGAATTTAAGCGCAGTCGACTAACTTTGAGGGATGAAGAAAGAAGTGGTCTTCCTTTGATGGCTGTTATGGAAGAAAACGTGCTAGCAGTGAAAATCAAGTTTGATCCAAGACAATAGACGAGTTACATACCAAGAGATTCAGCATATACTGCAGATTGGATCAGGAAGCCTTCACGAGATTTTACACTTGCATCTACGGGTGCTGAAAATAGTTTCATGCTGGGTGCTGCACAACCTCACTGATGTTCAGAAGCAGGCAAGGGTGGAATAGTGCCTTATATGATAGACAAATTTGAAACAGGCTCGTCTCGGTGTGTTTACGACATCGTTACAGGTGATGAATCCTGAATTTATCAAAATGATCCAGAAACAAAGCGCCAGTCGACGGTTTGGGTGTTTCAAAACGAATTAACGCCTACCAAAGTAAAGCAACCTAGAAGCGGTGAGGGGGGGAGAGATTTTGATCGCGAGCTTTTTCAATTTGACTCGCTACTTGGTGTCAGTTCCTTTACGAAACCAAAGAAGCATTAACGCCGAATGATATTCTACCAAATGCTTGGCAGAAGTTTTCTCTGTTGTGAGCAACAAGCGACCAAACACTGGGCTCCGCGGGCTACTGCTCCACCACGATAATACGCCCGCCCACACCGCACTCAAAACGAGGGACTTCCTAGATAGCACACCGGTCAAACTCCTGGGTCACCCTCCTTACAGCCCTGACACGGGCTATAATTTATTATTGGGAATAAGAAGTCACACGGTGCTACCGTGTGACTTCTTATTCCCAAAAATAAAAAATCAGCTCAACGGGATACAATTGTCGTCGCCGGATGATGCGTTCACAGCGTTCGAGCAGGCTGTAAACGAAGTGTCTGCATCGGACTGGAAAAAGTGATTCGAAAACTGGTTCAGACGTATGTAACTTTGTATAGAGGCTGGTGGAGAGTACTTTAAAAAGATGTAATAAAAATATATTAACCTATAGAACATTTTTTTTAGAGTCGCAAAACTTTCTGTGTGTCCACGTATATACGAGTAAACTCTATAGATATTTTTCTTCTTTCGGGTTCTCAAAGTTGACTGGAAGAAATCTCATCAAGTGATAAGTCCGTCTACATACTTTTTTATTATAACCAGATATTTATGTTAAATGTGAATGTAGAAAAGCATTTAAATAAATGTCCTATTGTTGTATCATTTACAGTAAGTACGTAAAATATTAAATTTACAAAAACAATTGCAAATAATCTGATTACAATCAATCGATAATCCCATAAAATGTTATTAGTTAATCGTTTAAAAGGTATAAGTTTTATACTTATCCTAGTTGACCGCATATACGGCGTGATGGGTGCCACGCCTAACTCAATCACGCCCCACCAGAACTGAGCTTTAATGTCGCTGAAAGTAGCACGCGGAACAATGTTTATGTGACATGCGAAATCCTATCTTCGCTTTTGCCGATTAAGGTCCAATGTTCTACATTAACTATCAACTAAGGGGTTGATTCTATTGAGTTTCGAGGTCTATATTTGGCCTAAATTGACATATTAAATTTGGTTTTCACATTATATGTATTACAGGTCTTAATCATATTGTTTACAACGTTCAGTTTATTGAACATTAATATCATCGGAGCAAGCAATAAAAGTTGCGCCCTAAATTTTCTCACATATGGATGTTTTGCTACTGTTAAGGCTAATGGGTCAGTATTATTAGTTTTGTTTTACATAACATGTGTGTCCATATGATAGATATAGTATTTAGTTTGTTTATGAATAATGCGAATTCATTTGATAAAGTAGCTATATCAAATCCGAAACTACAGAATTACTATGAACAGTGAAAAATAGTGATTAATTCGTATTAATTAAATTTAAATAAAAATACACCGGTGCCAGAAGTAACGCAATTTAAATGCACATTAAAGCGGTTTAGAAACAATAACGATGTATGTAGTATCGTACGTAGTGCAAAACTTTTATTTATTTTGGGAAAGTAAAATATGCAATCCGTCAACTAAAGACGAGAGTCACAAAACATTGATGCGATTATTATATACATTATAGTATTGTTTTGTAGCATAAATTTACTAATTGCTAGAGGTGATATTTGGAGTATTTTTATTTTATAGTTAGTAACAGTTTTATCTGCCAATCGACGCCAACATTTGATGTTTAATACATAATTTAAAATTACTAAGCTACAAATATGAACTTACAAAAACTTTTTTTAAATATTAACAATAATGGATTCAATGATAATCTTATACTCGTTATTAATACGATTATATAGTTTGAACATATCGAAGTAAATCACTTTGTATTTTAAATCATGTTGTCACCTTATTTAGTTCAGGCTGTAATTGTCTGTCAATTGGTAGATATTATTTTAATAAGATGTTTTTAGCGCCACTCAACAAAAGCAGCAATGAACTTAATGATGAATAAACTATTTAGTAGCAGTGTATTACTGTAGAGACCATGGTACGGCACAACTCCTACTCACCTTGGGCACGCTAAAATACACTATCAAAACAGTGCGTTTCGTACGTCGCGGTCCGCCGCACGTCACCGTAACGTTCTGCTCGTTATATCTGTTACAAAAAAAATTTAGAAAACAGTCTTAATATAACGATGACTTAAGTGCCTTAAGTGATATACTATGTGAATTTATGTAAACATAATTATTACGATATATATTCGTAATGGGAAGCAGCTTTTATAGGATTTATTGTCTCATTGGAGCGTCATTCGTCTCAGATTCGTCTGGCTGAAACCTATGTAAGTTTAAGGAAAAATATTTATCTATTAATATTGTTTCTTTCAGCTAATAATATATTTTTGTAAATAAATAATATTATAGTTTATAATTCGTTCTCGGGATACATACTAAACATTGTATCCCGTAAAAGGATTTACACTACTGTTTTGTGTATATGTATATGTGGACTTATAGAAAAAATGTTTGTGATATTTTCAATTTAAATAATAAATGATTCTTAAACTGTAATTTTTATTATTTTATCGTCTAATTTTTATTACATCAGAGCATTAAATGTTTAATTGTTTTTGGAACTGTCTGTTATCCAAGAATTTATCTGCGTGTAGTTTATGATAAATCCACATATTATGTTCATTACATATATTGGCTACATATATTATTATTTAACCAAATCGGTGCAATAGTTTAAAGAATAATTAAAGAAGGCAGACAGGCAGTAGCATTTAAAATATTAGTAACCACAGATTTAGATAGAATCGATTAGTACAAAACAAGTATTTTCTATGTACGTATTTCATATAATGTGTACTTATTATAGTCATTAGTAATGTTTAAATGTCAATAATTTCCTTAATGGTTATGTTACTCACAAATATAAATAACGAGGCCAAGCGAGTTCTCGTTTCGAACCTTCTCACTGATAACACTTATAGTGCAGGTGTTGTTACCTGTAGTTTTAGTACTAAACGAACGAATAAATTATTTTCTTTTTTTTGTTGCTGTTGAATCTTCGATAGTCTGATTGATATGCATCAGTTTGAATTTCATCGAATCTTATTCTAACTTAAAAATTATTTATTTAATGTTTATTGCACAACTTAAAGAATAATAACTGCTATATACTTAATAATTACTAATTAATCGCTAACTCGCGTAAAATAAAAGGAAACTTCTCTCTTTAAAAACTCATTAAAAAAACTAGATACAGTTGACTTTTCCTTAACCAATGTCGAAAATAAATTAACATTTTTAACAATTCAGTGCTAATTTTAATTATTCTTTTGCAATCAATAAGTTTTACTCGCTTTACTAGGAACCAAAATTGGTATGGGACTATTGCACAAATTTTGTCTCTATGTTGTCTGTCACAAGAAAAGCAAATTTTAATAAAATTTGCTTTTCTTGTGAATCAAATGTTATAAATATTATGAAAACATCGAATCTTTTTCAGGTATATATAAAAAAAAATGTTACCGCTGAATCCATGAAATGTTTTCCGAAATTTCGCGACCGAACGAAACAAAAATTCTAAGTTAAAATTACATAATATGTACCGTTTAAAAATATTAAAATATCGTTCCTTTGAACTTTTATGCTACGATTTACGAACGAAATGTTAAGCTTCATTTACTAGGACGATTTCTGTATGAACGAAAACACGAAATTGAGTTCGAAAATTCGTAATTTCATTTCATGGTAAACCTTCAGATTTAGAAAACCGATTTTTTTTATGTCAGTGTTAATTATTCAATCCCGTCGGAAATGAAATACCGTCGGCAACGTCTTGTAATAAAAATATCACATATTCTATACTTCAAAAGTATAAAACATCAATTAACTGATCAAGATCGAACGTAAGGATACCAGTATAAAAAGGTACACAGCACCTTTTTACAGGCCGTGGTACATAGTGTTTTTTTTATTTTTGCCTGTTCCTTTGCATGAATACCTAAATAAATATAGATAGTTAAAAGATAGATATGCTCTAAACTGACTTATAATCGATGTACGTATAAAATTTAAATGTATAAATCGATAGGTAATGCTATTTTTGCGTTATGCACTGAAACACATACCAAAGTTGAAATCAAAGTTTCAACTTGTATTTTTTCAATGAGTGTGTAAATATTTAATTTATAGGTTTGTTTTGGTTTCGATTTTATTATTCACAAACATATCATTGAAACAAATTTACTTGGAAGTAAGGTCGAGTAAAAAATCTAAATAAGATTACATGGACGTTTACTGTCACTTTCTGTTTATATTGTAAATTTGTGTCATTGAATATTAATTAAAACTTGCAAACTTTAATAATGAAAATAATTTAATTTAATAAATTTATAATTATATTATAAATTAAAATTAACAAACATCCAAATATATTCAAAAGCCTTGAATTTCGTTTCGAATGTGAAATGCACAACATTGCATGCTGTGCGTTCTCAGAATGTTTATGTTAGTAAGTACTAAGTGATTTTTTTTGTCAAAAGTAGTTATCAAAATTATGTTAAAATAGCGCATGATCTTTTATCCTTACATATAATATGATACTCGTGGTTTTTGTCTATTTGCAACTTTAAAAAAGGAGGTTCTCAATTTGGTTGTATTTTTTTCTACTTTTGTTACTTATGGTCTTATAGAAAATTTATCAAAATTGGTTCAGAAGATTAGTTTTTAAATAAAAATAATTGGTATTATCATAATTGAAATCCGTTTTTTTTGTGAAACACAATCTTAAATTATTTTGTTATTGCGCTTTGATTTTGAATTCCATTTATTTATAATGTTTTCCTGAACGTGGAATGTAGAGAAATGCCAGTGGCGCTGCGACTTTGGATAGAGGATGGTAAGTCGGTATGCTTAGGTTACCCTAAAAGTCATAGTCGCGAATATTATTATTGCTGGTACTTACTAAATATATGATTAAAAACTGAATAACAATTTGTAACCCAGATAATATTCCGAAGTTGCAGTCGAATCATTTGGCAATTTCTAATTTATTGCTAAGCAAAGCAGTGAATAATGTGAGGTTATCAGTTATAAAATTATTAACGAAGGTTAACAAGTGACTCATCTATTTAGGAAGTATATTTCGTTGTTTCTATACCGACGCTTACGTGTTTCTTCATATTTAAGATGAATCTTGTACTTACCATAGTATTGTACAATATATAGTTTGACATGATTTTTTTCTTTAAAATTATAACTGCTACAGACAAAGGATTATCTACTGTAGCATTTTTTAAGTATGTGTTATATACACGTACTTTTGATTACGTAAACCATAAAATCCAGTTATATAAATTCTGGAAGAATGTTATAAGAGGTAACGTACATAATTTACTTAAATCGTACTTAACAAATAGGAAACGAATTACAGTGATAAATAGGATCTGCCCTGAGACTAAATGTGAAAAAAATTATGAATCTCACGTACGTATTGTTTCACGTGGTGTTCCACAGGGCAGTGTCTTAGGTCCCTTGTCATTCCTATGTTATATAAATGATTTACCTAGAGTTACAAATTATCCTATGATATTGTTTGCTGAGATAGTAGTGTTATTTGTAAAAAATATTTTAATAAATTACGAAGATGACAAAAAATACAATAGATATAATATTTAAATAGTGATTTAAATTTTAATATGGACAAAACTAATTTAATACATTTCAAACAAAGACATAATAAATTTTTGATATTAAATATAAATTATAAAAGCAAATCAATCTATACCATAAATGATACAAAATTTTTAAGGTTAAATCTTGATTGCAAATTAAATTGGAAATCACATACGATCAAATATGTAAAAGGTTGTGCCAATTCTCATATGTTCTTCGTAAGTCGAGTAAAACTGCTGATGAGTCAACAATCTCGTAGCCTACCATGGATATATATCATCTACGCAAATCTATATATGGATTGATATTTTGGGGTGGACAGACTATGGTGGAAAGAGTATTTAAAGATGATGTATATGAGCCATGCGTCAGCTAAGAAAAAAAAAAAGATTCCTGTAAATCGTAATATAAAAATTTAAGATTAATATTTGTAAAACAGAATAAAAATTGATACTAAACATCGGTTATGATATATCGTCAAAATAGGTTAAATTTAGTGAAGTTCAAAACTAATTATAAAGTAATTGAATAAAAGTATTTTTTGTATGGTTCCGAAAATATGCAATAAATTGCCGACTGTGTTGCGTGACATAAGTACCGTCCACTTATTTAAGAAAAGTATTTTTTTTTATAATAAACCAGAAATAAGATTATGTCCACATAAAGTATTTCTAGGTTTAGTGAAATTTTATATACTTGTCCGACATAAATTCAGTAGATACTTCGATTTTTAAATACTTATTCGCTTTAAAATTCGGAATGGTTTTTCGTCATGCACCGTTAAGCCACGCAAATCTATAAACATATGGAAGACTCGACACAAAATGTCTCTACATGTTTACAATTTTATTAGTTTACAATTTTATTAACATATATTAAGCCACCCCTTCCTTTCTCGTGGATGTTGTAGGATGCGACTAAAGGAACTTAATGGTTAAGGAATGGGCAGCAGTGTCTTTCTTAAAACATCACCAAAGTCTAAGTGCGGTTGCTAATCCGTCTGTCAAACGTGGTAACTAATGGCAAAAAAACTCCGATTTGGGCTGATATGATGATGATGGTAAGAAAAAGTTATTATCATGTCTTTCTGTCAACCTAAACCAACATGTAAAGCATAATTGATCATTTAAATAATCACAAAATTTCAAAAACTATTTGATTTACGATATAGAAATGCTTATATTTTCCTTAAAGAATGTAATGCAATACGTAAAAATATCTCTCAAAATTTCCATGAGAAGAAGAGATGTAGCCGAGGTAAACAGACTTTTGTCATATTAAAAATATGTTTAATATGTTCCTGCAAGAGATGCAGTCGTCGGAATCTGAACTAAATTTATAGATAGATATTATTATTGGACTAGCTTTTATTCGCCGACTTTATCCGTGCGACCGAGATATATGTACTGACCGGAATAAAATGTATTTTATGTCCTCCATCCCTCATCCCGTGTATACCAAATATCACAGCGATTGTTTAAGCAGGTAAAGTGCTATGAGATCAAAAACAAACATACTTTCATTTATATAATATTAGTAAGGATAGTTAAAGTGGAACTTATGGTAACGTCCGTAACTTTTAGCTGTTTAAATAGACAATTTTCATTCATACAAATTTCTATACTGCTATTAGTGAAAAACAAGTTTTTTTATTTATTTAGATCAAGTGGAAGCGAGCAGAGAAAAAGCAATATACCGAGTGAAATCGAAAACTCGAAATCATTAACATCTTTTTAAGCAGGTAATTTACCCATGGAACTAAACATTTTCCAAAGAATCGTGTCGAAAAGTAACTAAACTAAGCTTTCTATTACTAACACGGCGTATTCAGCTGTCAAGTTAGTATGGTATTGTGGAGATTACATTTTTGTCGTTTATTGAAACATGTTTTTTAAAGGAAAAATGTTCAGTTTTACACGTAGAATGTCGTCTAAATGGATGCAATTGATTTCAATTTCACATTGTATATATGAGTATTTTATATAAAACTTTTTATCCTTTTATAACTATTTCTAGTAGGACTATAGAACAAAAAAAAATTGTTCATACATAATCTAGGAACAGGGTTATACCTATTCAGTATAAATCTACACACATGAAAATAAAGTCCCGCACTGCGCAATTCCTGCCCAAAATACAGTTTAGTATTTATAACAGGAATTATAATAAGAATTAAGAAGATAAATACGAAAATATATTACATTTTCTATATTTAAACAGTGAAAGGGTAGTGTTACACGCGATTGCTTAAGTGAAGGTCATCTAGCTTCATTGCGATGCTACAACGACCGATTCTCTTATGAAACCAGTTGGATGGAGTTGAATAATTGCCAGTTTGTTGTTCTGCATTAACCCAGATTGTACCTCAATCTTAAACTGCGAATGTTTTATTTTTACAAATTATTTACAAACATTATTTTAAAAAAAAGTTTTGTCAGTAGAGTGCTCGTTGTTCCGGTCGGTATTCCAACCAATTAGTACATTTATTTGCTTAGTTATATAGTGAGATCTATAAACCTTTATGAGGCAGATTTTGTACTAAAACACTTACAATGCTTGCATGAATACCTCTAATCTCTATGCCACTAGTGTCACAGCCGACAAACAGATGTGGTTGCAAAATAGTGTTTAAAGAGTGGGATTTGGTAGTGTTATTAGAAAATACAGAGATATGGTCCTTTTGAATAGCAAGACATAAGAAAATTTCTGTAAAGTTTATGCCAAAGTCTTTAAGTAACGATTACCTAATATTAACATTGGTAATAATAAGTGTGATTTTTTACTTCTGTTATTATAAAAAGTAGGCCCCCATAGAGCCAAATGTAGTCAAATCATTTATAATCAATTCGATTTATAGGTTTATGTTTACCAACGTTTCAGCAGTATGTGTGTGTGACCTATAATAAAAACAGTTATTATTGTTATTTAATATACACAAAATTGGATTCAATACTAGTTTTTTGCCTACTACTGCTTACGTGCGGATTTTAAAAGGAAAATAGGACTAAGGCAACCCGAGTGATACTATCATTAAGATTTATAATATTACCTTACATAATTCGTGAATTATCTTTTTACATTAAGATCCGTCTTCTTTTCAGATTATCTTTAAATAATATAACTTTTAGGTAAGCGTCTTTTTAACCAATAAAAATATATATACTATCATATACTAACAGAAATAAAAAAAAAAAACTTTAAATTTTCGAATATTGGCAGTCACACATATGGTAGCGGAATTACATAAAATAATTCTAATCAAATAACCAGTGATGTGGACTTCCGCAAGATAACACCTAGTTCAGCAAAAGTGTATTTTGTTCTATTCGCAACTTCAAGGAACCTTGATGGCGCAAAATTTTCTCTCTCTTTTCTATATTGAGCATGCAACGTTTTAGAGAGCTATTAAAATTGATACTTGTGAAGTTTTATGTATTGTAAACAATTATATCATAAAAATGTCTTTACGTAAGCTACACGGGCATAATTTTTTTCCAAAGTTTGTGTACGATGTTGGTCGGACTTAATATAAAAACTATGTAAATATACTATTTTCCTTTTACGTAACCACAGCCCTGTGCAGAAACTAATGAGTGCTATCTATACTCGTAGTTGAATTGCAGTTATTATTAGATCGGAAATGTAAATTAAATACACGCCATGAATATTATTAAGACACTCAACAGGTCAAATAACGGGTATATATTAAGAGAGGTCATCAAATCAGCGATGTTCAAATTGATAAAAATCATCATCGATTTAATGTTTTTGTGGTCTAATTTATTTAATTTTTTTTTATTATGATACGTGATTATGTCACCATTTTTCATCTATTTTCACAACTTCTTTTTGTAATCATTAGGATTTACTTCGGTGTTGGACCGGTAATAATTTTGTGATTATTGAAACTGTTAGTTTTTTTTTTTTGGAAAAACCGAATTGCTTGTTGCAAAGCAACATCAGCCCGTAGACACGCGATTCCGAGCTTCGAACTCAAATATTTTCAATAAATTCGTAAAGTATCTACGAAACATCTCGTGGTTCATTGCGTGTGTGTGCGTGTGTCCTTGTGTGTTTACGATTAAAGTAATTTTTACGCGGCTTAAATTGTACTTGATCAGACACTTAACGACCAAATAGTTTTCATATTAAAATACACAATACTTTTAGTTTTCTTAGTTACTGCTCAACTGCTTCCAACTGTACTAGAAAGTTTTCTTGACTGTATTGTTTAGCATTAAGTTTTATCTTCGGAACCTGTTGTAATATATTCGGAAAAGATTTTGACTATTTTTTTGTAATTGATAGTAAAGTTATGTGTGGGTCTGACATGTTAATTTTATTAACGTTTAAATCTATTGCTTTTTTTTCGTGAAACAGAATTATACTATTTTTGATTCATATGTATATGCAACGTACCTATAGTTATCGCGTTGCATGCTGTTTCCGGCTACATGTTTCTATTGTTATTTTTATATTTGCATGTATTTTTTTATGATTGCTAGTTATTATTATCCATGGACGGAAAAAGCAACGCAAAAGGAGTGCCTTGGGATGTCACGAGCTATATTGTGTTCTCCATGGTTCTGTTCATGTCTGTATGCGGTTATAACTTTCAATTAGGTGAGCCATAAAATTGTTTGTCATTCTAAATTGCATAAAAAAAATTGTAATTGCATTGTTATTACTTAAACACACTCGTAAACAGAATAGTTTATAAGACGTAGTACTCGTAGTTGTATTTTTTTTTTGTATCTGTAATATTTTTAAATGAAATGTCACTGATTTCCTACTTTATAATATTCATAACTAAAAACCTTATACAGTCTAGAATAAAATGTAGAATAATTTTATCTCGATTTACACAGTCAAATCTCACAATATTTTAGTGAGTTTCTTTATTTATTTGTTACTTTAATCGCCATGAATTTCGGCATATACGGTACATTTGACATGCAGAAGGACATAGACTACTTTTTAAAACGAATTATTTATCCCGTGTATAATTTTTAAAGTATCAAGACTAAATCCTGGTCAAGCGGATTATGTCTGGGAAACGATTAGTAAATAATAAAAATAAATATGAAAATTGCCCATAAGTCCATTATTAATGATTATTATAAAACATTTTTTCTTGATTATGACATATACCTACTTTTGTACATATTGACCATGTGACTTCAGTATAAACATGTATCAAGCAGCGCATCTCAATTCGTTCAATCAAAAACAATGATTGTCTTATTATACTCATAACTTGCTTGATTGTTTCTGTTCTGCTCAGAATAGTCGGGATATTAGCTAAAGCTAATTATTATCATGATTTCAGTCGTTACTGTCCACTGCTGAACATAGGCCTCCTCCATAGGGGATTTTGTCAGTAGTTGCCATGCTTGGCAGGCAGGTTGGCAAACGCAGTTAGGCTTTTAGAGATGTTTTAAGAGGAGCGCTGCTGCCCATTCCTCGCTCTCTATAGCTAATATTTACGTACATTTCAATAAGAGTTACTTTATTTTCTCAGTTACACTAGACGTCTGATTTTTTACCTCTTGTAGCATTAACTCAAAATCCTTGACATAGAAATAACCCACATTCACCCTTGATTTTATTAAGTACTGACATCAAATTACGGCTAAGCTCATGTATAATTTATTTTCTCTGTACTTCAGTATTTAAGTGCATATAATAATTCTATTTTAATGTATACATACATAAATAGGAGTTTTGTTCTTTAATATTGTGCAGTGAACGCCATTAGTCATATTGTAATTTATTTTCAACCTTCCAGTGACAATGTAAATTGTTATCACCTGTGGTTATAAACTTATGTATTATTGTTACAGGATCAGTGCAGTGCTTATTTGGAGCGCAGAATGCCGATCGCTCCGCGCGGACCTCCGCTCGTATCAACACCGCTCCACCACCAACTGCTCCATAGGAGATCTAGTTTAATCCCCAAGTGCCCTTCTATAGTATAACGTCTAACATTTTATACGCCTCTTTTATACCGACCCATAAGTTTAAGTACACAAAGTGCTAGTGTTAAGTGTCGCGCGCAAGTGAGGGTGTGTATATGTGTGTCGATGGTGCGGCCGACATGGGAAAGTCCTCGGCGAGAACACATGGCCAAGGTGAGTGATGCCCAATGTACTTGGACACCTGCTCTCAAGGTCTGTCTTTTGCTATGTACATACACCCTTGTAATGACCTCGATGCTGTAACATAACAATAGTTAAAATGTGTTCACTCTAACTTACACTACGTAATAACACTCACGCTTGCTACAATTTGTTAGTACTTATTACATTTATTTATTATTCATGTACTTTGAGAGAATCAACCATTTGAAAAAAAATCTCATAATAACAAGGTTTTATAGGTATTTATAAAAATAAATAGAAATAAGCTAATTAATATATTATGAGTGTGTCACGGAGAACGAATACAATATTTCACCACACCTTTACATTCCCAGGGCGTTGTCAGACACCATTAGAGGATCTTAATATAGTATGCTAATGCAAAAGAAGGAAAACTCGAAATCAAACTTTATACTAAACCGCGTCGTACTATTGTACCTATTTAGAATTATGTACTTTAAAATACTTTAAATTTCTTTCCGAATGATTACTTCGGAAATCTGAACATTCTTATCAAAATCTAGTAAGCAACTATGCAGTTTCTGTTAATTTTCAAAATTAATTAAACTATATTAATATCTATAATAATATTATAATGATTAATTAAAAAGTTTTTTTCTTGTCAAAATTTATAGAACAAGTTGTTTTATAAATAATGTTAAACAACGTAAAACTAATAAAAATTTGACATACGAAGTATTCTTGTTGTTGAATGTTTTACTTTTTCATTATGAAATTTCAAAATTTTATTAATTGTTAATTTTGTGAAATGGGAAATATGATGTTTAATTTTGTTTCTCAGACAATAGAGTCGAAGCACACTTCTTTAAACCTCAGAGTCAACCACAATGTCTGTATTGTGTTATATACCCTCTTAAATCTCATCATCATATCATATCATTTTAAGGCTATAATATAAACGATACATATGATTTGCATATTGATTATATTTTTATAGTTGTATGCTATAAATTTTCTGACGAGGCCAGATGCAGACGGAGCACTATTATGTGGGAATAATACTGCCCTGTACGTCAGACCCATAATTAACGAAGGTTAATTATGGGTGACGATATACACATAAAGTCATATAGTGGTGGTCATCACCTTTAGATCAATCTGAAATTTTACTATACGAGCGATCAATAAAAATAAAAAATAAAGCTGTTGAGCTTTATGTTGAAAATGTATTATTAATCTGACAATGAATATACATTTTGAGAAAGCATTATAACGATTGATAAGCCCTGCCCTACAATAATTTGAGTACATAATGTCTTCTTTATATTTGAAAAACAAATCACTTAAGCAAAATGCAAAGATTTTTCCGGACACCATAAAAAATTTACTTTTTTTTTTTTTGGGTGAACCACAGTTTTGTTATACTAACACTAGTTTTAGTCCACAACTTTATCTACATAATCAGGATTACATCAATATAGCGGGATTAAAAGTATCCTGTGTCCTTTTCTATTATATATAGTACGTGTATACCAAATTTTATAAAGATTGGTTGAGCTGTAAGCTTGTGTAAAGCTAAATACACACTATAATGCCGGTCATGGTTCGAATTGAGGTCTGATTTCGGTCTGATAAAATATTATTACGTAATAAACAATGCGTGTATATATAGTAACTGTACAATATAGTTTCGTTCCAGTTACGAATCTCGAAAAATTTCTACTTACCAGATCGAGAACGGTCCTAGAATGAACCGTGACCGGTATTATAGTGTGAATGCAGTTTAAGGCAACAAGAGGTAACAAAAAACAAACTCGTTTTCACGTCTATAATGCTTGTTGTATTTTGTGGCTTCGCCCTCCTGAATCAGTATATAAAATATCTTTCCTATGTTGTTACTTCATTCCAAATTGCATCAATTCATACAAACAACCCTGGCAGACGGGGTTTATTTTTTATTTTTAATAGATGAGAGTTTTTTAATTGGAGTGGTAACCTCGCCTGCGCTATCTTTATATACTGGCAGGGCACCAGTAAGGGATGATTGGTGAAGATGAAAAGACAGGTCCGTTAGCCCATCGTGTCGAATTCAACAATAAATGAGTCACGATGGTTTCTTGGGGGAACCACGTGGCTAGGTCGATCTGATAGAATATATTGATAATAATGGGGACTAATCTCCAGAGACCACCGGGGATAACCAGAGAGGAACGGGGTGGGGGTTTGGTTATAATGCGGATTACCAGTCTCATTATTAGCAATATTCCAAAAAAGGTCGACCTCCACGTGGTCCCCCCTGGAAACCATCTTGAACAATTCTTGTTGAATTCGTCACGATGAGTTAACTGACCAGCTTCATCCTCACCTATCATCTTTCACTGGTGCCCCGCCGGTGTATACCGATAGCGCGGGTGGGGTTACCATTCCATTATCACCCATTAAAAAAAACCAGAGAGGAAGGGGTGGTTGGTTGTTTAGTGACCAATTGATCAAGAATTAACCAGTATGGTTTTTAGGGAGAACCACGTGGAGGTCGACCTGATAGGGTGTATTGCTAGCGATGGAACTGTTATAGCTCATTACTAACAATCCTTTTCCTCTCTGGCAGGCAGGTTAGCAGCCGCAGTTAGCCACATATATTGCAATAAAAATAATTAGGGGATCTGAAAGAGGTTTCAGAATTTTAGAATATAAAGGTCATTTTATCTCGTAAAATTTTATAGATCCAGATATATATGTATATGAATGTGAATGAATATATGTACCGGAAGAGAACATGACTAAGGAATTATGATCAGATAGACCGTGTTCTTTCTAAGTCTCTGGAAACGTGCGTGCATAAAATGAGTTATAAAAGTGCATGAAGCAAGAAATATGTGTAAGGATATAGATTTTTGAAATTCAATTCTTTCTGCCTACTCTGTCAGGGACTTGATGTGATGATAAATATTATATATTTATTTACGGAACCCCCCGGCGTGTAACTTCAATCCGTCCCTGGCTGGTTTTGTTTGTTAATCATATGTATACATATTAAATACATAAAATGCTAAAATAGGCAATGAAAAGACAATCAATAATATGTTATGTAACAATTTTATATGATATAAAGATAAATAATTATGTAATACAAAATTGTTACGATTTAATTTTTCATTTAGCTCATAAAGGTGTATATAAATTAAATATACGTTTCTATTTTCTAAACCTAGGATAAGAAATCTAAGATTTCTGAAGCAATGCCAAATAATATTAAATAACAAGTATTATGTATTGCTCCTAAAATAAGTTACTTCCATTTTGAACGTATCTAGTGACAAACAACTAGTGTTCCCCCTACGTCTTCAAATTGGCGCCGTAATCTCGTAACATAATTAAAAAAAAGTAATTTGAAAATCTTTCGGAAATTGCTTAAAAATAAAATATTACTTTTCATTATGCAGTGCTATGACGTCATTTGTTCGAAGTGAATTATTTATAGATGTCATAAATTGTATTGTTATGATACCTAACGTACGTTATAATCGACGTAAAGACGGCCAGCTGCGTCTTCGTATTGACTACGTAAACTTTGCTGATTTTGTTGGTTTACTAGCTGATTTTAAAATTATCTAATCTGCATATTTTTTTTAATAACAATAAAATAAATAGTGATGTGTATAGAACAGGTATTTGGTACTTATTGTACGTATCTAATACATTGACACCGTTGTCAATATTTGACTAGAATTTCCAATTTCTACCTTTGTAAACATGGATTACGGACGGCAACACTGGCCCAATGTAACGAATGTATATAGAAAATGCGTGCGCAGACTAGACGTCGCTAGTGTGCGCGGTACACGAGTCTCGAGCCCGCAACGGGTCGGAGCGCGCGTGCGGGTCGCAAGACGCGCTCGTGTGGTGCCGTAGCGCGTAGATTCGCAGCGCGGCCAGAATCTCAGCCTGCGGAGTGGCCGCGCGGAGTGGTGTGCGACATGGGGCGGCGGTAGCGGCGCGGATGTGCGCGCGCTCAGAGGCCGTAGAGCTGGAGGTATTAGGCGCGGAGGGCGGCGAGGCTCGCGTGCCGCCTCGCCCGCTGCGCCTCTCCCTCCTCGAGCTTCTCGGCAAACTGGTGCGACGCGATCAACCCGCCCAGCCGCACCGCCGCACCAGGCATAATCACCGTTTCCGCACCTTCGTATCGTGCGGTGTGTATTTATTGATTCTTTGTAAGGATTCCGATAGTAGAGATTTGTTCATTGAATTTTTATCGTATTTACTTCATCTTAAGTGCCTCTGCATCAATGTTCCAACTATGGTTGGTTCCTAAATAATTATAATTACATATTACAAACTGCATGGCTCACGTATATGGCGTACTTACTTACATCGGTGAAATAATATAAGTGCCGGGATTTTTGATAACTTACTGCGGATGAAGGGCCGGATGGGTCTAACTTACGGAACTCTTCTAAAATATGAAATGAAAATGTATGTAAGTGTCATATTGGCCAAGGTCGGAGTCGGCGCGCCCCCGCACGGTCAACGGCCGGGACGAGACGGCGCTCCAGCGCTTTGCAAATCGCGTATGACCGCGGGTTGTTGTTATTGATTAACCGCCAATGTTACACTTCACTAAATTCAATTAAAATGCAATCGCATAGTTTTTCTGCAGTTTTTCAATATACTATTTTATTATACAAATTACTATTTTTTCCTGTTATATATGTACACATGTCAGTACTTGTAGTTGTAGTAGTAAATACGAAGTTTAGAACAAAGTATTGAAAAGCAATCAATTAATCTCTGTTAAATTGTTTACAAGCACTTTGAAAAAATCGTCACCTTTTTTAGGAGTGGATGTCGACCCCATTCAGTATCTAATTTTTACATTTTAATGGTCTAATTTAGAAATTGATTTAGAGTGCCAATAATCGTCAGTTGTATGGCTAGTATCGTAAAAATAAGCTGTATTTAGTAATTAGTCCTAATAACCTTCAACGGAACACTCTTTACAGTTAGATTTAGGTAAGGTTTATTATATCAAG